ATGTATCTATCTATCTCCCTATCTACCTCCTTCTTGGTCTCCGTCTCTCTCTCTCTCTCTATCTATCTATCTATCTATCTTCTTTATTTCCCTCTTTATCTATCCATTTATTTTTCTCTTCTCTCCCTCCTTCCATCCCTTATTCCCTTCTTCATTCCTTCCTCCCCTGCCTCCTTTTCCTCATTATTTCTCGTTCGCTTAACCTCCCTCCCTCCCTTATTCATTCACTTGCCCTCTCTTCCTTCCTCCCTTCCTCCCTTACCTCTCATTCACTTAACCTGCCCTCTAACTTCCAACCTCTCCCTCCTTCACCCTTCCTCCCTCTCCCTCATCCCCTCCCCTTCCCTTCCTTCTTCTTTCCCTCACCCCTTCGCCCTCCCTCTTTCCCTCCCTCACCCTTTGCCCTCTCTTCCTTCTTCCTTTCCTCCCATCCCTTTCATTCACTTAACCTTCCTCTCTCCCTTCTTCCCATTCCCTCCATCTCCCTCCGTCACCCCTTCGCCCTCCATTTTTCCCTCCCTCACCCCCTCGCCCTCTCTTCCATCCCTCCCCCCTTCAACTGTCCTCACCCTCTCTCATCCCCTCATCTTCCCTCCCTCACCCCTCCACCCTTTTTCCCTCCCTCACCCCTCCACCCTTTTCCCCTCCCTCACCCTCCACCCTTTTCCCCTCCCCACCCCTCCACCCTTTTCCCCTCCCTCACCCCTCACCCTTTTTTCCCTCCCTCACCCCTCCACCCTTCTTCCCTCCCTCACTCCTCCACTCTTCTCCCTTCCCTCACCCCCTCGCCCTTCTTCCCTCCCTCACCCCTCCCTCAACCCTCCACCCTTCTCCCCTCCCTCACCCCTCCACCCTTCTCCCCTCCCTCACCCCCTCGCCCTTCTCCCCTCCCTCACCCCCTCGAAGGACTCACCCTCTCTCCCTTCTCCCTCCGCCAGGTTGCTGGATCGCGGCCGGATGTTCGTGTGGTCGACGGCGCAGGCCAAGAAGCTCCTCGTAGGGCCCGGGAAGCTGTTCAAGGAGGAGGAGGAGGAGGAGCAGGAAGGGCAGCCGCTGGAAGGAGGACAAGGAGGACAAGGAGGACAAGGAGTCAGCAGGAGGAAGACGGCAGCAAGGAGGCCAGCGCTGCCCGGCGACCTGGAGAGAGGATGCGGGGAAGCAGAGCGCCGCGTGGGAGACACGGCGCTGAAGGAGGAAGGAGTGGACGAGGAGGAGGAGAAGGAGGAGGAGAAGGAGGAGGAGGAGATGTGGGTGGGTGAGCGCCTGCTGGATCTCGGAGCTGGGGATGGTCACGTGACACAGGTCCTGGCAGCGGGCTCCGTACAGGTCGATGTGACAGAAGCATCGCCCGTCATGAGGAAGAGGCTGCGGGACAAGGGCTACAGGTACGTCTCCACGCCACGCCCTCACGTACACACGCACACGCAAGCACGTACACGTATACACACATGCATATATGTAAGTACTGCACATGAACATACGGTAATATACGTGCATGTATGTGAATACTGTACGTAAACACACACACACACACACACACACACACACACACACACACACACACACACACACACACACCACACACACACACACACACACACACACACACACACACACACACACACACACACACACGCCATCCTTATAATTCCTGTCTTTCACGTTCTTTATTATATATTTCTGTTTATAATTATTTATTGATACGAAGTCAACCGAGATCAGTATTTCAGGTAGGTAAGTTTTTGTTGTTTTTTTTTGTAATCCTTGTTTTTTTTGTTTTTTTCTTTCTTTGTTTCTGCTTTAATAATCAAAGAAATTGTTTTGATACGATACCTGGGGATAGTATCTACTGACATGCTGTAGATATGTGAAGTATTGTATTCTCTGTAATGCTCTGTATTGTATTGTATTATAATGATCTTAATTGAGGGTACATATGTGACCGGTAATAAGAGAAACTCAAAAACAGGAAAACAGGGATAAGTAGGATAATTGTCTATTGATAAAAAGGAGAAATAAAAGAATGAAAGAAAGTAGTCTTCATCTTTGTTGAAAATAAGGATAATGGTGTCACTAATAAATATTATAATGATATCTGTAATGGCAATGGTACTAAGAACAGTAACAATAGCGGGAACAACAGAATTTATGATTGAAGTAATGATTATAATGATGATGATGATAATGGTAATAAAGATAATGATAATGATAACCATCATAATAGTCATAATGATGATGGTAATAAAAATAAAAGTAAAAATAAGAAGATAAAGATAAAGAAATATAGATATAATGATTATTATTATGATGATAACAATAGTAGTAATATTGATGATAATAATGAAAATGGTAATGCTGACGATAATAAAAGTAACAATAGTAGCGATAGCAAGATAATGATGATAATGATTATAACGATAATATTAATGATGACACTAGTAATAATTATTAATAAAGACATTATTAATGATAAAATTTGATGTAAGATAATTAAGACTTCTTTGGACTAAATACAAAAGAAAAATAAATTCATAAAAAATAAATAAATGCAAAAAACAGCGTACCGAAGCGATGAAACAACAAAACAAAACAAAAATCGTCGAAAAAAATGAGGAAAACGAAGGAAAAAGAAGATTGTTGCAGAAAATAGAGCCAAGAGGGTTTGGCCAAAGGAGAATGGGGTGAAGACTCTAATCATTGAGGTCTTTATGAGGAAATGGGTTGAGAGAGGGGGTGGGGAGGGGGAGGGGGGTCTTATTGGGGAGGGAAGGAGGGAGTGGCCAGAGAGAGGGAGAGAAGATGTGGTATAGGAGGGAGGGAAGGAAAATAGGAGAGGGAGAATGGGAAAGAGAGAGAATGCGGGGAGGAAAACTGGGGAGGAGGGGATCCAGAGAGAGATGAGAGAGAGAGACTGGAGAAGGGGCGTCCTAGAGAAAGAGAGAGAGAAAGAGAAACTAAGAAAGAAAAAGGAAATAGTGATAAAGGAGAGGAGAGATAAACAAAAGTAGAAGCAGAAACAGAAATAAAACCCCAACAACACGACGCAAGAAAGAATAAGAAAAAGGGAGAGAGGGAGAAACAGAAGGAGGAGAAGGGAGGGGAGGAGGGGGAGGGGGAGGGGAGGGAGGGAGGGCAGGAAGAGGGGGAGAGAGGGAGGGCAGGAGGGAGGAGGAGGAGGTACGGCCAGGGGAAGACTGAGGGCAGAAGACCCAGGTGTGCTTCTTGTATGACGAAGATCTGAGAGATGCTGGTAAATACTGATGTGATGGTATTGAAATTCCGTCGATATTTATCTCTTTCAAATAAATTGTTTCATCGCGCTTCACATTTTTTTTTCTTCTCTCTCTCTTTCTTTCTTTTCTTTTCCGTTTTCGTTTTTCTCTTTTTTGTTTACCTGTTTGTGTTTGTTGTTGTTGTTTCTTTTTTGTTTGTTGTTTGTGTGTCTCGACATATCCAGTTGTATTGATTCGTCTAACCGCGAATGCATCTTAAATGTATTCGATTTTCATTGAATATAAAATTGCAAATCAATGAAAAAAATAATCCCATGTCAGATTTTATATAATGAATATATCAAGCGTTTTATTTGAATATAAGATTGCAGATCAATGAAAAAATAATCCCTTATCAGATCTTTAATGACGAATATATCGAGCATTTTATGTCGTTTAGTATCTAGACCAAATATTTCTGCAAAATGAATAAAACACACCATTACTTAAGCGAACCCTCAAGATCAGCCTTGCGCTCAAACAACACGTACTTGGTCTTTCCAGCTCTACTGCCCTCAAGTTGCATAAATGTTGCATGCACTCAGGAGCAGTACACGTGATCCATTTACCTTCAAGAACCACAATATGAAAAGTAAACAGAGCGTTGATGCGTCTCTTGTATGTTTTCTCTGTTTGGTTGTTATTTGTCTGTTTGTTTTTGTTTTATATTTTTATTGTGAACTGTGATTTTTTTTTTTTTTTTTTTTTTGAGATGGTTATGATTATCATTGTTTATTTTTCTTTTCGTTTTATGCTTTTTTTGTGAATTGAGATTTGTATCGTGTTTTTTTTTTTCTTTCTTTCTTTCTTTTTTTCTTTTTGATGATACGGATATGTATCATTTTTGGAAGTTATAGTGAAGGTAACTATGAATGGAAAAAAAGGTAAATTAAATAAGGAGAGAGGAAGGCGTCTCGATGCCAGGACATATTTGCATATTCTCGCTACAGCATTTTAGGTTAATTCGCAGTAAGGTCAGGGAAATGTTGCCCGGAAATAGACGCCCCCGGCAACCTAGAAAGGGCTTTGCGACCTGTTCTGGCGACCTTGATAGTGTTCAAACGTCTTGTGAATGAAAATTTGCCTGATTGTGAGAAACTTCTTTGTGTGAGAAATATCCGTAACCATTTCTATGGGCGACACACTTTGCGCCTTTTTGGAACGAAAAATACTTTCCTCCGCTGTTTCACAAGACGCGTTGCCCAACACGATGTCAGGAATTGCTCTCGCCGTTGTTGCAGAGTTGCACATAGTTGCGTTTCAGTATGTTGACGAAGATATTCCAGAAAACGACCATCAGTCCTATGATATCGACTTTCAATAAAAAAACCAAAAGAGAATAAATATTTTAGAGAAAACAGCGAATCACATGAGTCAACGTTCTTGACTTCGCTAGCAAAAAAAAATCGCACGTGTTACAACGCAGTTAAGTTTTCTTTAAGTACGTCTCAAGTGTACATTGACTTTCCAGCACTTGTTGCTTAGTGTCGGCTCCTCCAGACGTTGAGAAAGGCTCTTGCAGTGTGAGGGTTGCTTGAGGTTTAGAGAAAATAAGAGTATATTCGAATAATGGTATTTGTTTTGTCTGTGAGGGATGTATAGAAGGTTCATAAGGCACTGGTAGTTGTATGAGCTGTGTATGATGAATATATCTTTGCATTTTCACCCTTGTGGAATAGTTGTTGGGCTGCATGAATTGACCAAAAGTTGAATATAATAAGTAAATGCCTTTGGGTCCAGCATCATGTGTTTGATAAGTATTGACAGTTATATGGTTATTATTTACACCATCTGTCTATACAGCATATCACTTCCCTGTGGCTTGACAACAAGCATAAAGTCAGACGCAGAGAACAGTAAAATCTTCCACCTTGGAACATACAGACCGACCTACTTCGACGGCATCACACTCCGTCTTAAGATAAAGATTTTCCTTCCTTGCCGAGATCTGGAGCAAGTAAGTCCCTTCCGAGAAAGAAAAAGAAAGAAAGAAAAAAAGGAGGAAAAGGGAAAGCATACATTATTATCCACATATTGACGCGCCTACCCAAGATCCTCTGACCAATCAGCGACTCGCACGCGCCCTTTGCTCGCGCCTGCCTGGCTCTCGCCCGCTCATTAGTGGAAATATGACGCCTGGAAATCTAATTGGACGCTTAATGAAGGCATTTCCTACCGCCCGCCGCCGGTGCGTGATAATCCATTTTTTTCTCTCTCCGCGCGTTGCAATCTCGCTGCATAATCCTGGGCGGGAGAGAAAGGCGCGTGTGTTACTGCGTCCCTAATAAAGCTCGGCATTATCCTGATACAGTAAATTTACCGCAGTTCCTCGTGTGTGAGAGAAAGAGCACGGGCGGAAAGCGGTATCTGGCAACTCTCATTCCCGCGGCGATGACCAATGGCGACAAAGACGAGGGAAGCGAACAATATTGCTAGCGTTCGCGCAAGAAAGTAAATTATGTCCCTTCTTCACATCTGCTACACGAGAAGATGCCGGGGAATGACTTTTGCCTGGAACTTTAACGAGGCGAAATTTCTCAAGTGCCCTTATCTCTAGAGTGCGGGGTTTATTTACCTATAATATTTATCCGGCTGTTTTCCCCGCCTTGTACATCTCCCGGACACAACTGCACATTACGTTTATTAAAGAGGGTCAGTCGAGAAGTCCGATATGTCATTTCCTTCTTAGCGGGAGGAAAACCGATATTATATTTATTATTATTATCATTTATAAGGCCGTGGAGCGTAGATGGCTATACAAAGCTAGGAGGGTTTTGCCGCTATCTCCGGCAGTTCATAAAATCGATGCGGATCCATCTGTCATTGGTCATATTTTCATCTGCTGACGCCTTGCCAGGATGCCACACTTCGGAATAACGCGGTGAATGGACGTCATTACGATACAAGGAGAGGGAGAGAGAGAGAAGGGAAAAAAACGAATGAAGGAATGATGCAAGAATGGGGAGGAAGAGAGACGGAGCGAACACAAAGGAGTTATGACCTAAGCTTGGAGGGTCGGTCGCGCTCTCGCACAGGGCACGCAGGGAGGGAGGACAGGCAAATGAGGGCAATGTTCAACACGGCGGAGTTGAAAGGGATCTCACGGACTCACG